ATTCTCCACCTCAAACAATTTCTCCACCAACAGTTGAGATGAAGGACCTTGGTACTCTTAACTACTTCTTAGGCCTTGAAGTCTCTCATGATTCTACTGGTTCCTATTTGTCCCAGGCCAAATATGCATCCGATCTTCTGGCTCGTTCTGGTCTTACTGATGCAAACTGCCTCTACTCCGGTTGATCCTCAGATTCGTCTTCACTCCTCTCGATGGACTCTTCTCTCTGATGCTACTCTTTATCGCCAGCTCGTCGGCAGTCTTGTTTATCTCACAGTCACTCGTCCTGACATTGCTATGCTGTTCACATTGTCAGTTAGTACATGTCGGCTCCTCGCACTCCCCACTATACTGCTCTACTCCGCATCCTTCGTTACCTCAAGAGTACTCTGTTCCATGGTCTTCACTTCTCTACTTCCTCCTCTCTGTTACCTCCGTGCCTTTTTCGATGCTGATTGGGCTGGGGATCCTACGGATCGACGCTACACCACGGGATTCTGCTTCTTCATAGGGGATTCTCTTCTGCTTGGCGTAGCAAAAAACAATCCCTCACTGCCCGCTCTAGCACCGAAGCTGAATACCGAGCTCTTGCTGATACTACTTAGGAACTTCTTGGCTTCGTGGCTCCTTGCTGATATGGGTGTTTCTTCATCTGCTCCTACCCTCTCTACTGTGACAATCAGAGTGCCATTCAGATTGCTCACAATGATGTTTTTCATGATCGCACAAACATATTGAGATTGATTGTCATTTCATTCGCCAGCATGTTACCGCGGTACTGTTCTCTTCTTCTTATTGCTTCAGTCGATAACCCGCTGATATCTTCACTAAAGCTCATCCTCCTGGCCGCTTCAAATGATCTTGTTCAAACTCAACCTTGGTTGATGCTTTCCCTCCTTGGTTGCGGGGGGCTGTTAGTATATAATTGTATATAATTGTTATTGTATACTTGTTAATTTGTTAACTTTAGCTTTAGCTTTTATCCTTTAGCTTTAGCTTTATTTCTTTAAGCATTAGTCTTTATACTTTCGGTGGTAGTGGGTGTTTGTTGGTATCCAATGTGCCATATTTCTCTCTATTAAGAGAGAGTTCATTCTCTTTGTAATATGCAATACAGAAATATTTCAGAGTCTCTCTCTCGCTCTCAGCTTTCTCTACTCTCTCAAAACTAATCTTCATTCTAAATCACTTTTTGTAATCGTGAGATTTTAATTAAAAGTGTATTTCTAAAACACGTTTTATAACTTATTTATATTTTATCTGTTTAAATCATAAAAAATACTGAAAGTGTATTTTGTAAACACGCTTTATCTTAATTTAAAAAAAGCCTCAAGTGTTTTTTATTCACAAATTTTACCCATTACGTTTGGCCCCAAATTTGTCTTCATTGTCTTTTGAAGTTAAAAGAGCATTGGGCTGGGTTTCGTTTTTGAACTATTAATATTACATAGGTTCGAT